AGTTGGTTAAGCAGCTGCCTTCGGCTCAGGTCATGATCCCGGTGTCCTGGGATGGAGTCCCACATCGGGCTCCTTGCTCAGCAGGGAGTCTGCTTTTCCCTCTGCCTCTGCCTGCCACTCTGTCTGCCTGTGCTCACTCTCTCTGACAAATACATAAATAAAATCTAAAAAAAAAAAAAAAAGATACACGAACATGCTTTAAAAGTTGTTACTTTTGCATATTACTATTTCATGCCCCTCCCTGTGTGATGTTAACTGTTTCGTATTACAAATTGATTGTTTTTAGCTATAGACCTCCAGCAACTGAGCTATTATCTTGTTGCATGTTAGAAATTTTCAAAGGCTATTTTTGCAGTCTACTGAAGTTTAGGTGGCATAAAAGAAATCTAAAAACTTCTTGATACAGGCCTAACTTTCCACACCCCCCAAATAAGCTTAATACTGGCAAAACCTAACCTATTATAATTTTCATTTCGACTAGGTAGTGTATTACCATGGTTTAAATTTCAAAAAACACCAAAGGGTAGTTAGTTGGTGCAAAGTCTTTTGAGCTGGTCCCCTAGTTTCTCAGACCCCCTCCCCGGAGATAACCAGTATTTTTATCAGTTTCTCATGTATTCTTCCAAAGATACACAGGTATATCGATTCTCTCCTGCCCACTTTTTACGTAAATGGTAGCATCCTACATACTTTTCTTCACCATGCTTTTTTCCACTTAACAGCATATCAGTAAATAAAGAAATCGCTGGGTTGTTGTTGTTTTTTAGCTACATTAAATTTAACATAATCCACCCCTTATTAAAGGATATTTAAGCTGTCTTCAAAGCTACAATGAGTAATCTTACACATTCAATATTTTGTAGGTATGAAAATATACCTAGTGCATAAGATCCTAGAAGTGGCACTGCTAGGTCAAAGATGGGTACTTTTTATTTTTACAGATATTACCAAACTGCCCTTCATAGAGCTTGAACAAATTTGTATTCCCATTGGCACTACCTCCCCAAACCTTTAACACTATGTATTACAAAACTCACAGATCTTTGTCAGTTTGCTTGCTAGCCAGAAAATGGTATTCCCCTTCCTATAATTTTTAGTTTTACTTTGTTATAGATCCTTCTGAGAAGGGATAAAGTGCCAATAGGTACGAAAACAAGGTGACAACAAATTAACTCTGCAAATCTCAAAGTATCCAAAAGTTGAATTTTATAATAAATTTTTTAAAAAGCTCTTTTTAACCCAGCAGAAAATAACAGGCATGCTGCAAGGTATACTTCAGGCTAAATGTAGAAATAGGGTTAAAGCAGAATTAGAAAATATATACATATTAAATTTGTGGTTAAGTTACTAAGAGAAGGGTAGTTTCTCTGTTTCTCTCGAGTTTTGAAGTTTGATTTTTTTTTCAATTTTAAAATATTAGGCATTTATATATATAGCCAGTTCTGCTATAATGCTTATTTTGAACATGCAAATTTGTTCCAGTTTGACTGATATATTAGGGAACAATATAAGCAATTTCACCTGAAAAACACTAAGTGAACACATAAAAACTTCACCCAATGGCACTTAGCAGTGTATGAACACATAAAATGTGCACATCCCCCAAACATCTATCACATAATCAAAACAGTGGTGTACTGACATAAGGGTAGACATATAGGTCAATGGAAAAACAATGAAAGATCATGTAATTATGATCAACTGATTTTTGACAAGGATGCCAAAATCCCTGAAAGGGGGAGAATATCCTTTTCAACAAAAGGTGCTGGGATAACTGGTGAGCTGCATGCAAAAGAATGAAAGTAGACCCTTACCTCACACTGTATATGAAAACTAATACAACATGGATGAAAGACCCAAAGGTAAATCCTAAAACTATAAAACTCTTGGAAGAAAACATAGGAGTAAATCTTTATGACCTTGGATCTGGCAATGGATTTTTAGATAGGACCCTTAAAGATGCATAAGCAACAAAAGACAAAAACTGATAAATAAGATTTCATCAAAATTAAAATCATTTGTGCTTCAAAGGACCCAATGAAGAAAGTGAAAAGATAACCCACAGAAAGAATGTGCAAATCATGTAAACGCTAAAGGATCTGTATTTAGAATATATAAAGAACTCTTACAACTTAATAGTAAAAAAAGACAAATAACCCGATTCAAAAATAACCAAAGGATCTGAAGAGATATTTCTCTAAGGAAGATATGTAATTGCTAATAGGCACATGAAAAGATGCTTGACATCATTAGCTGGTAGGGAAATGGAAATAAAAAACACAAGGAGATAACAATTTAGGTCCATCAGGATGGCGATAATCATAAAGGCAGATAATAACAACTGTTGGCAAGGACGCAGGAGAACTGGAGCCTTCATACCCTGCTGTGGAATGTAAAATGGTGCATCCACCTTGGAAAACTGGCAGATCCTCAAACGATTAAACAAGTTATCATAAGACCCAGAAATTCCACTCCTAAGCACATACTCAAAAAACTCTAAACATTATGTCCATACAAAAACCTGTATACAAATGCTTATAGCTGCTTAGTCATAATAGCAAAACGTAGAAACAACGCGGATGCCCACCAGTTGATGAATGGATAAGCAAAATGTGGTATACAGCCGCACAATGGAATCTTACCTGGTCATAAAAGGGAATGAACTATTGCATAGATGAAGCTTGAAAATATTATGGGTAAGTGAAAGAAGCTAATCACAAAATACCACATTTTATATGATAACATTTTTATGAACATCCATAACAGGCAAATCTACAGAAACAGTAAAGAGATTAGTGGTTGCTTAGAGCTGGGGGAGAGGGGATAAGGAAGTGATACCTAAAGGGTATGAAGTTTTCTTCTTGAGGTGATGAAAATATTCTAAACTCTACTGTGATGACGGCTGCAAAACTCTTGTGAATATATTAAAACCATTGAGTTGTACACTTTAAATAGGCAAAGTGTATGGTCTTTGAATTTTATCTCAATACTACTTTAAAAAAACCCATCTCCCTGGGGTGCTGGAGGGGATGTGGGCAGGGCAGGGTTGGGGGGATAAATGGGGGATGGGCATTAAGGAGAACACTTGTGATGAGCACTGGGTGCTGTATGTAAGTGATGAATTACTAAATTTTACTCCTGAAACTAATATTATATTACATGTTAACTAACTGGAATTTAAATAAAAAATTGAAACATAAAACAACAAAAACAAAAACAAAACAAAACAAACCCCAGCTCCCAGCTCCCTTAGTTTCCCTCATGTGTATGAGTCACACCTCCCACATCCAGTCCTTAACTTCCCATCAGATTTCTAACAACCCTCCTTTACGACTTCATAATAACTTAAGAGTGGCAACTCTTCCCACGCTACTCCCAAAAAGCAAATTTCAGGTTTGTTTGTTTTTTTTTCCCAAGGAAAAGGACCATATTCATTATAATGTTTATCTATTTCTTAACTATTTAACATGTATAAAACTATACTACCATTTTTATTAATAAAGTTCCTATCTTTTTTAGGAGTTATTGTCAGAGTTTTTTGAGTTTTATGCCTCAATCCCGCCTTTCCCATAAGTTCTGTGTTTTTTAGTGTCCAATTTTGCATAGTGCAGGGATTTCTAGGAATGCACACGCCATACTATGGCAGAACTAACTGCACAATCAGAATCAGATGATAATGTCCCCCCAAATATACCATTATCAGAAATACAGTTCAAAGCTGGATAAATCACCAATCCAAATCTATAATGTTTCTACTGGTTTTCACTGCTTAACAATTTCAAACTAAAATGCTACAAGAAATGAATGCCTTTAGGAATACTAAGGTAACAATGTGGGAAAGAGTTTTCAATGACTGCACTTTTGTTTTCTAGAGACCTTATCAATATCAGAAGACAGTTCTGCAGGGAAACAATATTCATTTCAAAAGGAAAATGTCAGTAATTTATGGATGGACCCTAGCTAATAGCCAGCATGCATCCTCTGTACTATACTGGTTGTTCCCTTCCAAATTACAAAACTATCACTTTCCCTTCCCTTTCTATAGCTTCCTTCATTATCTTATCACGGATGTCTTTCCCTTTTCCCTTCATCTCACCAAATCTCACACTCCGGATCCGAATCCTTTACAGATCATTCCCCTTCCAGCTTTCCTACCCCTCTGAGTTCTAATAGCACTTACTATCTGATTTACACAATTTTAATCTCATATTGTTTGTTCGTTTTATTCTTGTCTCTTGACCATACAACTTCTTGTGTGGATTCTAATACTTCAGAATCCACACAAAGCCTGCACAGCATGGAACACAGAGTAAGAACTCAAGAAATTTTTGCTACTGGGTGATAAATGGGACAAAATCATGAGCACCAAATAAGCTTTCAGCTTTCTTACTTACAATTTAACCATTTCTGATACGAACCATTTCAATGCCTTTGTAGAAGCTAAAATTTTAACTTAGCTGTGCTGAATTTATACTTATACGTGGCTGCTAAGGAAATAAAATCCTATAAAACTTGCACTCTGAAGTCTTACCCCAAAAAAGGCTAAATAAGAAATTACAGTTGTTACACTAATAAGCATTTTTAGATTTTGGACCCCAATTCTACATTATAAGAGGTATGGAAGCAATTTTATCTGTAGCAATTTTAGTACAGTGACAAATCATCCCTGAGGAGTGGTTCTCAAAGACTTCTTTTAGTAGCGGAAACCTTTTTTCAAACAAAAGGCAAAGTGGGATCCTCCCATACAGAAGAAAAGCAGAGCTGATCTTGCTAAAGTGGAAGGAGGAGCCTCTAGTTCTACCTGCTTGAGTCCCCCTCAAATGTAATACAACCCCTTCCCTATCCCCACTTCCCAACTGTGGTGGGCCCTTGAGGCATCCCTGAGAACCAGAGTCCTGAAAAACACTCATAGAATAATCTGAAAGCATCCAGGAATGGAAAAATACTACATTAACTTGTTTAAATTTCAAACACCACTAAAATATAAAATTAAAACTTACCCATTTCTACTGAAAACTCTTAGCCATGCTTTGATGTTTGGCCCTAACAAACACAAACAAGGTACAGTAGTAAAGGTTGACAAAGTAACTGCAAATAAAAATGTTTCCAACACCAACCTAGAAAAAAAAAAGCTTTATTAATTTTTTAAAAAGCATTAAAGGTGTATGTACACTACATAATCTTGGTTATTTAAATAGATTCAACATGAAAACATTTTCTTATACTTTACTTTGAAAGGTAACACGAGTCCTACCAAAATGATAATTACAAAAAATTTTAATACTGAAAAACAAGCTATGAAAAACAATCTAGCAAATACCTGGCTTCATTTTTTTTTTTTTTTTTTATTTGTTTGCCAGAGAGAGCGAGCGAGAGAGCATGCACACAACCAGGGGGAGCGGCCTGCAGAGGGAGAAGCAGGCTCCCGGATGAGCAAGAAGCCTGATGCAGGACTCGATCCCAGGACCCTGGAATCATGACCCGAGTCGAAGGCAGACCCTCAACCAACTGAGCCACCCAAGTGTCCCAAATATCTGGCTTTAATGATAGAGTTCAGAAGTGTTAAATGCCCTCTAAGCTATATGAGACTCTCCACTGCAAGAAACCCCATTTTCAGATAATTAACTTTCTTCCTGAAGAAGTTCCTCTGGAACTTTCTCTGTAACCACTGGTTCAACTCTAGCTTACCCTGGAGCCACTTGGAAAGTGAGATAAACTAAAGCTTGGGGAAGCTGAACCCATAGCATTTCTGAGGTCTGAGACTTGCTTCTGGTAAGATGCGGATGCTGCTGGTTTTAGTACTACTGCTCAAGACATTCATTCTACTTGGCAATGGATTAAATAGAAACTACCATTTCCCATTAAAAGGTCTTGTCCTCCCCTCTCTAGAAAAGACCTACCTGTTAATTTAGTGTGTGTATATGTACAACTGTGTGTAAATATATATGACTACATACATAGATGTATCTGTGTGTCACAACTTAACTCACTGTGATCACTAATCACTTTTAAACAAGGTTTCCCAACCTATGATGAACATTAAATAAGAAATATTCATGAATCTAGTTTTTTAAAAAAACTGGTCAGCTTTGAAACAGTGTTGAGTTAAATTCTGCCCTTAGACTATCAACATTAGGGGTGCCTGGGTGGCTCAGTCAGTTAAGCCTCTGCCTTCAGCTCAGGTCATGATCCCTGAGTCCTAGGATGGAGCCTCATATCCCCACCACATCCCCACATCCGGCTCCCTGCTCAGCAGGGGGCCTGCTTCACCGGCCCCCCACCCCTGCCCTCTGTCAAATAAATAAATAAAATCTTAAAAAAAAAAAAAAACATCAACATTAGGTTATTAAATAACTAAATACAGGAATCTACGGAATTTTCTTAAGAAAAACTTCAAGCACTTCAGAATCATATTTACTAACAACTGATATGCTAATTTTAACTAATTTATACATATCATTATAGTAAGCTCCCTCAGAGGTTCCAAGGTCCACACATTTATTGGAATAGTTTCTCATCTACCTCCCTGCCCCTACATGCAATGGGGTAATAGAAGGCTAGGTAAGAGGAGCATTTAATGAATTAAGTTATTCTTATTATGAAGTAATGTTAAAAGAGTATCATTACTAAGAAAGGGCAATGATGACAGTATCCTTCTGTGATCTGGTAGTTAAACACACCATGGTTTTTCATTCCTCACCAACAGAATTAGTGCTTTCTTCAGTAAACAAGTGTTTCAAATATAATTGCCTTAAGGTACAAATTTCAGACTTACTCTATGAGTGGTGCTCCATATAGAACAAAAATGACATGAAAGAAGAAACATGACATAAGAAAGTAGATACAGCATTTCAAAAACCTCGCTACCTAAAAAAGAAATGAGAATGATTTGAAGGCTCAAGACAATGCCTAGAGGACAGCAAATGCTTCCATTTTATCTTCAAATACAACTTATTCCCAGGTGTGCAACAGTTGAATGTTCTTTACTTTGGGAAGCCTGAAGTCAGATTCCATCTCCTGTGCACAGTGCACGGACCTCCAGACAGCCCCACAAAACAGCCTACAAGTCACAAATCACTACTCATATTCCACCCACCCAACCAGCACTAGAATCAAAAAGCATTTCTGTTCCTATGGTATACACTGAGCTACACCACGAATCAGTATTTATAAAATATTTACCAACAACAGAACGCTATGATACAAAAAAAAAACCAGACAATCCTTATTATGTGATGCATGAAATCTTTGCAGAAAATAAGGACTACAGTTTTTTTTCAAATCATATTCATGTGACTATATGATGCATATGAAAAAAGACCTGCATGTCTACAAATCAGTGTGGGACCTACTTGATTTGGAGTGCAAGAAGATCTAATTATAATAGACACAGCGAGTTTTTTAATCATAGAGCAGTAAATGTGTTTTAAATTATCTAAGAGAGCTCCACATAATATTGGGTAATGTTAAGGGAAGATTTTATTAATTTAAAGTAATAGTCAAGTGTTATAAGATCGTGAACATTTCAGAAAATAGATTCTGATATCTGAAAACTTTAACACTGTTTAGTCGAGGAAGGCCATGTTCAAAACAAAGCTACCACAAGACTTATTTTGTAATTTCTGAAAAATCCATTTTCTCTCAGAAATGGAAAAAATAAATGAAAATTAAAATGTCTTATAAAGTTTAAGATATGACTGCTACGTCATGAATTTATCTTCAGCGGTGACTTAAAACATGACCATCTAGGTTCACAATGCTGTAATATCCACTGAAGACATCCTAATTCCACAACTGATGCATGGCAAAGGATCTATCAAACATTGTGGGCAGCCTTCCAGCAATAACAGGCTACTGATTTGAAAAAAAATAAAAAATCAGGTTCTCTTTACTCACTGTAAATAACCCCATAAGTACTTGACTAATACTTTCTTTATTCTTTCATTAAAAGGAACACTACCCCTATCTAAAAATCAGTTATCAAGAAATAAGCCTTACCTTGTATGATAATGAACTTCTTTTAGAGGATGCATTTGGTTTCACTACTAAATATAATACTAGATTGACGGCAGTTACAAAAACAGAACAGATGCACAACCATGTCAAGTGTGTTTCCAAAATTGAGAAGTTCTCCAAGAAGAATGATGGAATGAAGATGCTTAGGATAATTGAAAATATGCATAAAAGATGGGTATACAGTAGTCTCTTGATATCAGTATCTTTCATGGTGTTTTCTTGAGAGGCTATCTAATGAAAAACAAATTAAGAAAACAGCATATCCAATAATGATTTTTTCCATTGTCTAAATGCTCCAACGCCTAAAAGTAAGCATGAACAAGTCAATTTTCTATGCGCAATGTATTAGTTTCAGAATATGGTAAGATGCATATGTATAAATGTACATGTAGACTAATATGGCTCAAAAATGTCTCAGAGCCTAAAAAGGACAAATTTACTAATTCCTTAAATATTTGTAACTGGTTTCTGTAAAAGGATCATGTACTAGGACCAATTAAGGGATCTGTTCTCTTTTTTCTTTCTCTTTTTTTGCCAAAATCACAGAGGTGAAAACAACATGCAAAGATTAATGATTTGCTCTTGCTGGAAGTATAATCTATGCATTCTAGGAACCCCATGAATATACTTTAGCCAAACTGTTGGCATTTTTTTTAATCATTGTGGACCCTTGTCTAACATCACAGTAATTCACATCTTCCGGCAAATGACAAGTGACACCAAGTGCACACTTGAATACTCAAAACGGTGACCAGTGTAATCAAGAAAGTTCAGAGAACATTATGCTAAACTCAGGGATCCCAATGCTCCAGAAATACCAAAATGACAATGTCTGTTACACGTGCTAAGTTCCAATCAAAAGTAGATCATAAATAGGAGAAAAAAGTCTACTTTTTCTCATTGTCTCTGTAAAATACTCATGATATGTATATGTTTATTCATAAATTACCTAACACAATACATAACATATTGTTACTAACCTACTTAGTAATGTTAATACTAATGTTAGGTACAATACTTAATATTAAGTAGAACCTTATTCATTTAAAGTAATAATCCACTGTGGTGAATAGTCCAGAAAAACAACAGGGCAAGTCCAGGCCTTATCCTAACTGCTCTGATATAATTCTGTAATTTCCCAAGGCAAATATTCTACTGATAAGGAAACAGCCAAAGACACGTTAGGAGACAGGTCCAAGGTCCCAAGCTCCCAAGCTCCCAAGCACTAAAGCCACATCAAAGCCTCGCCTCTTTGATATAAAGATACACACTAGGGGTTGAGAAGAGAATGAACAATAGAAGGGAAAAAGGAAAAGTTTCTCACAGGTCCTATCCTCTGCCGAATGAGAGGAATACACCATCTCAACAGAGACCTCTTCGGATTTATTTTTCTGGGCCCCTCTCAGAATCCCAAATGACATGAGTAGATCTGGATCTAATACAGTGCGCAGTACCCAAACTCAGATGCTTACTGAATGAATGAATAAGAACGGAGGAAAGAGGGTGGGCCCTGCAAGCACACGAGGACACCCGTCGGGCGCTCCCCTGGCTGCCACCGCCCTGGCCTCCGGGGTCTGAGCTAGCCCGGGTTCCCAGGTCCTGAGGCTCGCACAGGAGGAGCCTCCGCGGAAATCGCCAGGACCTGTCTCTGCAGCCCCACCCCAATTCGGCCGCTCAGGACCCTGCGCAAACCTCACCCAGGGCAAGTGTGAGCAATGGGGGACGCGCTGAGAAGCATAATCAAAGAGCACCCGCGCGGAGACCAGGAGAAACGGAGGGCCACACACAGAAAAACGGATCTGCAAGAGGGCCGGGTCCATCAGGGCAGCCCCTGGGTCACGCAGAAAGGGTGGCGCTCGGACGGACAGCGGGCGCGGGCGGGCTGGGGACACAGATACTGTCGGCCACATGGGCAGTTGGTGGGGACTGTCCGCACACCCCGGAAGGCTCGCGTGCGGGGACGGTTCGGCTGGGCTTACCTAACTCTCCCGCCAGCGGAAGAGAAGCGGAGGTTACTACCTCCAACCATCAGGTACGACTCTCCGCCCTAGCCCTCGCGCAGGCGCAGGCCTGTGGGACGGAGACCCAAGATCGCACAGCCAATTGCAGAAGCGGAGGGGCGGGCGGTAGGAGCAGCCCCGCCTTCCAGCTCGCGTTTAATTCCTCCCGCCGCTTTTCAGGAGTGGGATGGGCGGGGCGATGGGCGGAGGGGCCGGAAGTGGGTTGTCGTAACCCGGAAGGGGAATGCTTCCCTGGCTGTTGTGTTGACATTTTCAAGCTGCTGCTGTTTCTGCGACCGAGGGAGCCTTCTGGGAAGGATGGTGTGCGAAAAATGTAAGTTAAGGGGCCACATCTTTGGGAGAAGGAGGCTAGGAGAGGCTAACTGGAGTTCTTCGGGTACTTTGCGTTTTCTTTTTTTTCTTTCGGCCACGGGTCTCCGATTCCGGCCTTTGTCCTGCTACCCCTTTGACCATTCCTTCTCTCCCCAACGACCGTATAGTTATTCTGCGTTCAAAGTGGTCTGTTTTGCACTCATTTGTCTATTTCCTTTGCCTCCCCCAACCCGGGATCTCACCCCGTACAGATCTTGACTGGCTCCTTCGCTTCACAGACCCTCAAGGTTGGAATGGATCTTAAAAGATATACAATATCTAGAGTTTCCAGATTTAGCAGACATTAAAAATATGAATACTTATATTAGGAGAAGTGTGTCCCATTCAATATTTGAGACTTGTCTTTGCTTGCTGCTCCTTACTACTGAAAGTGCTTTGGACTTACTTTTAGTGACAGTACTAAAACACCATTCATTGTTTGAAATTTAAATTTAACTGGGCATCCTATATTTTAACTAGCAACCCAAAGTTAGCAGCCTGTCCAATGGCTTAAATGCTCTTTGCATGAATACCTGTGGTATTGAGGCAAGGTTCAGAAAGTTGCACCACCTTCACAGTAGTCTGTATCGATGTCACTGGCTTTTAGAAAAGTCCTTCCTCCCTATAGTTGCCATCAATAATTCTAATATAAACTCTTGAGCTTTCTAGAAAATATGGCTTTTTGATGTCACAGACTGTTTGCTTTAAAACGGCCGTCATACCCTAAAGTCTCTTTTTCCTCAGGCTGGACATTTCTGGCTCTTCTGAGACAAGGGTTCAAGTCCTCTTATCTGGATTTTGTTATAACACACCCCCCCAACAGTAGATAAACCTTTGAACACAGGCACCCATGAGTTTGAATCACAGTTTTTACATTAGGTAAAAGAAAAACTATGGGTGAGTTATCTAATATTTCTTGGCCCCAGTTTTCTCATCTGAAAAATGAGAATAATACATAACTTATGGGTTTTGTGAGAATTAGATAAGGTAGGTAAAGCCTGATAAAAGTGCCTTCGTGTATATTCAAAAACTGGTTATTTCTATCATAACCACCAAGGCATGGCACTCAGAATTAAACTCTGCTCCATTTTATGAGGGGTAGAGTGGAACTAATATTTCCATTTTTCTGTGCTTTATATCATCATCTCATACTAAGCTTTTAAAAAATTATTGCAGTGTAATTGACATAGGTACAAGTCACCCATTTAAAATGTACCATTCTGTTATTTTCAGTATATTCATAGGGTTGTGCAACCATCACTACAATTTTAGAATATTTTCATCACTCCAAAAAGCACATGAAGCTTTTTGACATTGACATCCTTTAACTCTACTCCATCCAGTACCTAAGAAGTTTTTTTGTTTTGCCTGTTTAAGTAAATATGACTTACATGTATTTAGGTTATGCGCCTTCCTTGATGTCTTCTCTCTTATGTAGTTTAGTTCCGAAACATGTAAATTTAGCCTTTTATGCAATTTGTGTTAATTCTGTATATTTTAGCTTTAGAGGACTGGTATTCTGCCTGGTTTAACTTGTTTTGTGTGATGTTCTTTACACCATAAATGCATTTTCTCAAGGAAATTGAGGATACTGGGCAAATTGTGAGAGTTAATTTCCTAAGGTGATAAAAATTCTGAGAACCCAAGATCTAATGTGGTATTAAAATAAATACACACAGTTGGATCTAGACGTGATATGTGTTCTAAAGGGTCACCTGCTTTTTACTTCTCTGCACTTCTGAAAGTCTGTGTATTATTTCTTTGTTCTAATACCTTTCTACCTTCTATAGACTCTTATTTTTTAAATAAAAATAGAGTCTTAATTCAAAGACCTTTCTTTCAGTCCTTTTCTATTCTGTGACTTTGAAACTTGGTCTCAATTCTCTTTGAATTTACTTCTCCGTGTGCTTCTTTACCATTATACTCTCTGAGTTTTCTTATTCTCTTTCTCCCTTAAAATAGATGTTTCCTAGTGATCTGTATCTGACCTTCTTTTGACATTTGTTTTGGAAATATCTGGCTTCAAGTAGCATATCCATGCCAGTCTAATCCACATTTCCAGTCGACTTCTCTCTAAAGTAAGACCAATAGAAGAATTTTCTTCAGACAATACTGGGAACCTCCATCTGGTTGTTACGTAGCAGTTTAGTACTTCCAAGACTGAATTTGTCACCCTACTTCACAAATCTGTACCTTCTCTTCCATCATTTAATGGCATGGCAGTCCTCCCAGTCACCCATTCACAAGGCCTGAATCATCTCTCATGCATCCCCCATCCCTTTGTGAATCTGCATCCAAACACTTGCATGTCCTGCTGTTTTTACTTCCATTCAATAGCTCATACTTTCCCTAGCCTCTCATTTACCCTTCAAGTACCCTAGCTGAGGTCCCCATCACTCAAGTTAGACTAATGTGATCCCTTACCAGCCCCTTTCCCTTCAAACTGTGTTCTCCCTGCCTTTGGCTCTTCTCTCTCTAAACTGTCCTGCATGTGTGTTTGAAGGCCACTGGGAAAAACTGCACAAATGAACCAGTTGGTACCACTAAAAGTGCACAATTCCTAATCTCCAGGATCTTTAATACTACTCATCAATCTTTTTTACTTCTCTTTAGTCAGTCCCCTTGCCCTTTGTTGCTATGACTATTCCAAACTCTCCAGTCCCTTAAACTTTAACAACTTAATCTACCTCATGCTCTTTTGACAAATACCTTCTTATAGGCATAACAAAAGCAAGGTAATTAAATGGGAACATTCTCAACTTCTTTTACTATACCCATAAACAGATCTGCATCCATGCCGATTTACTTCTTTCCCTTTCTTCAAGGAAAATTCTACTCGTATCCCTGTTGCCATCCCTCCCTACCTCTTTGTCTCTGTATCCTTTGGAATCTTTAGTCAGCTCCCCTTCCGTATAAAAATGCTCAGTTAGACCCTGACTCCACCTTTCATTCTTGTATTTTGTCACCTTTTCTTTTCATTCATGCAACAAGTATTATATGTCTACCAAATGCTAGATGGTAGAACCAAAGGGTAAAGACTTTGTCTTACCATCCTTCATCATTATGCAAGGACATGGTTTAGAGTAATCACAAGATATTTGCATTGAACCTAAATATACGTGCACTCTATCACTTTCTATATTTAAAACCTTTAACAAATTCTCAGTGCGCAGAGATTAATTTTGGTTTTCTATATTTAGAGCCTGGCATTCAGGATGACCCTCCACAATGAGGCTGGCTTATCTTTCCAACTTTATTTTCACTTACTCTTACCCTCACTCTTTGGCCAAACCACTCTTTGCATGCCCATGTGTACCCTGAGCTTTCCATTTCTTTCTTCAGGATATGTCCTTTCTCTAGTTTGCTTTCATCCAGATCCAGACCCTCTTCCTGCCTTCTTCACAGGCTTTCCTGGATTTCCCCAGCTAAGGTTATTTCTTTCTCCGTGGAATTTCTCCTAGTACTTCAGCTGTCTGCTACTATGCTTTTTATTTTCTAGTTTATATTTTGGTTTGAATGGTTCTTTTTCAGAGGTCTCTGACCCCCTTTGAAAAATCTGATGAAAGCTATGGACTCTTACCAAAAATAAGTGGCTCTATAATAGTGTGGTGTTCAACTTCATCTTTTTCCCTTGTCTTCTGAGGTCTACCCCTGGGACCCAGGTTAAGGACCACTGTTAGAGAAAATAGTGTGTTGTACATACCTTGAAACCTAGAGCTTTATCTAATTTATCATTTTATTTCTCTCTGAACTTTGTATAACAGTTTACATATCATAAGTGTTTAGTAAATATTTATGGAATAAATAGGTGTATCAGATTTGTTTAGATTTATCAGATTTGTTTAAAGTACACATGGTACAGGAAAAGCCTGTCATTACTCATCATACCGTACAGATGTGACCGGGAGTCAGCTACCCATTGCCCACAGTTAGTATCTTCAGTCTCAGTTCACAGCCCCTACCCCGGCATGAAAAAGCTCCTACTGTAAGACAGTGGTTGATACCACCGTGAATTTTAAGCGCCATGTAGTATATTTATTAGATAGTAAATCCGAATTCCCCTTACTTCTACTATCTTGTTACAACAGGTGAAAAGAAACTTGGTACTGTTATCACTCCAGACACATGGAAAGATGGTGCAAGGAATACCACAGGTATTTTTCCATTTGTAAAAGAGAAGTTGAATCCCGTGCTTCCTGTGATGAATGTTTTCACTTTACATTATTTGTAAAAAGAAATCTTGTGTGTGCAAAGTATTTCATCTCTTAAACACTAAAGAATCCCAGATCCCCCAACAATTTAATGTCTTCTTTTATTTAGTCATCTGTCAGGCAAAAGAGCAAAATCATTAAATGATTTTTCCACCAATGAATAGATCATAGTAACTGATTTGATTCTGCTTTATTAAAGTCTGTATTTAATTCCCACTTTCTTAACCTGACTTTTATATTCTTGAACAAATCATTTACACATTTACATTTTCACCATCATATCATTAGATACAGTTGAGGTGTTTCCAAAGGGAAGGAAAAGAAATACTT